GGTAGAACTTGCGCCTATTTTCCCGCCAATCGAAATTCAAGCTCTCGCTTCGTTATCGCGTCAATCGTGGTCGAACACAGTGTTCATGTGTAAAAAATATACAACAAAATAGACGAATTAATAACCTCCTTTTTTTTTTTTTTTGTTTTGTATATACGTTCGTAGATGACTGTCGATTAAGTATGTTCGTTCGCGTTCGTACTAACAGAGAGTTGTTCCATATTTAGGTGTGGAGGTGCCCAATGTTAGAGCACGAGAATACAAAATGCTGACTGAAATTGGCCAAGCTCTTTAGTGCAACAAAATGTAAAACAAGAAAATTTAAATTGTTTATTCGCGTGGCCATCGAGATCCGTGCCGTTCGGGGCGCACGGGGCGGTCGCAGTGCACACCGCACACACACCGCCATGGCGTCGCGCTCGACCGGCGTGAGGGGTATCGCACGATTTTTAATTGCTGTAAGCCTTTTTTACGCTTTTAAATAATATTTTCACATTAAAAAAAAATATGTTTGTTAAGCTTTAAATACTTTTTGACTTACCTCTTTTGCCCCGTTAATTGATTGCAGTCCATGGAGGGACGGGGCGATGCGAGGGCGATGCGTCGAAGTTCGAACAACGCAGCGGCGCCGGCGGGGCCGTCTAGGCCGTCGCGCACAGCCTGCCGCGACGGCCAGGCGCCGGAGTGCGAGCCTTGCCAAGCGCCCGCACAGCCCGCCTGCCGTACGCCAACGCGCGCCGCTCTGCGCGGGCTGCGCGTGGCCTGCCGTCCGCCGCCGCACGCCGCGCGCCCGCCCTGCGCCGCGCCAGAGCCGCCGTGTCCTCTCACATGTCAACGAAACGCGGACGTATGTGACGACATTCATTTAAACTTTACTTTGTAATGATGGCCTCCATCGATGGCTACGAAATATGATGGTCGTGTTTACGGACAACAGTAGAAGTTTCATTTCGCTTTGAAGTTATTCGGGTGTGTCCATAGCTAAAACTAAATATATTCTTTCGTTAATAATACACAACCTAGTGATGCCGACGAGTAAACTAGTAACAAATGTAAATAATTTAATGTGTAAGCAAAACGTAATAAAATTAACCTTTGATTATAGCGGAATAGGTGAACAAAAAAAAAAATTAAATTAAGAATGTTATCTCTTACCACAGAATACCTTTAAAGAACACGTGAAAGAAGTTCAATGTCCCGTCAGCCCCCACGCACAATGCGGGGACTCCATGGACCGCGTGGCGCAGCGGATTTCAGCGGCGCGACTCGCGCGGCGCCAGGAGTACGAGCGCGAGGTGGCGGCTCGTGCTGCGCAACACCCCGCCGCGCCCGTAACGCCGCCCGCGCCCCTCGCCCGCAGCCTGGCCGCCGGTCGCGAGGTGGTCCGCGCCACCGACGGTCGCGACTACGTGGTGCTGCCCCCGCTTGCGCATTCACAACAGAAATCTGACCACGGTGAAAAAGATTCAACTGTAGAACTCGATCCCGCTAAAGGTTGTGTAATCAATCCATCCTCCCACGTCGACCCGTGTGCGCACCGACCGCGAATTTTACTCGAAATTGATCGTAGCGAAGTCTCCAAAACTGCTCGATCACCTCTAACAGCTAGTAAATCTCCGCTCGTTTCGGCCCCGAGCTCCGCTCAAAACCAGAATAATGAAAATGAAGTCGAGAATTCCAAAAAGTGCTGCAAAGGGTCCGCTCTCGGCCCGATGACGGACTGGTGCTCTTCTCGGCCGAAGATAAAGCCTCAACGACCCGACTGTGTCCAACCTTCTCTAGTCGAGAGAATCAAACGACGCTCGCTAAATTCCTCTAATGAAGTTCGCAAATTTCACACCGCCTCATCTTTATTATCACAAAACCTTACGCCGACCGAACAAAATGAAATCGGAGACGTTACGGCTAAAGTTAAGGCCGACGCCCATAAATTAAATAAAATGTTGGACGATAGAGATAAATTAAAAGAAGCCGGTCGCGGACGGAATACGATTCGGGATAAAACGGAGGAGGCGAGTGCGAGCGGTCAGCTGGAACTGCGCGCGCCGGCGAGCGGCGTGGGAGTGCGCGTCCGTGTATCGCTACTTGGTGGCACGCCGCCTGCGCGCCCCTGCGCTCGTCCTTCCAGGCCCTCAGACTCTGCCGACGGCGCCCCGCAAGACCCGAGTACCACTTACTATGGCAAATGCGACTCCTGGCTTTCGATAAAAAATATTCAAAAAAAGCTCACAGGTTGTAGGAATGATGATAAAAGCGGGTCACAAAATCCATCCTCAAAAGAAGTTAATTTGGGATCCGGAAGTTCACCCTGCTCCCTCAAGCAGAGTCAAAAACGCTCGCCATGCGACCAAAAACGACAACACAAGAGCGACTCCCCATGTCAGGCAAAACAAAAACCAAAGCCCCCGCCGTGCTGCGGCGCGCCTCCCACCTCACGATGCTCTGCGCCCAATATGCAAATTTTACCAGATACAACATTAATACTTTGAATACAATGTCAATCTCGTGTGTGTGTGTGTGTGCATAACTGTTTTGCAAAAATGATTAAATAAATTGAAAGTTATTTGATTTCCCTTATCTTACAATAACATATAAAGTGACAACCCGAATTAAACTTTTCCGCTAATCCTTTTTCCCTTTCCTCTAAAGATATGTACTCGTATATATACAAGCGGACCCGACAGACGTCCTGTCTACACGTCTTTAATTCGAATATTATTTAAAATTTGACACTGCGATGGTAGCGCCGTCTGTCGGATCCTATGTAATTACTAATAAATTAAAAATTAATTAAAAAAAACATTGTCCAGCGGACAAAATTGTGAATCTAAACCATTCCCAGATCCCCTTGAACACACACAAAAAAATTTCATCAAAATCGGTCCAATCATTTGAGAGAAGTTCAGTGACATACACACTCACAGAAGAATTATATATATATAAAAAGATATATATGTATATATCTTTATACATATATTTTAAAAGAGCTATCACTAAATATTATGTTTTAGCAGTGAAATTAAAACATTGGAGACTTCATGCACTGATGATATCTATATACAAAACACACTTCGCCGTCCATGCTGCGGGGGCAGCAGGGACGGTTTCGTGTGGGACTCCCGGCCTGGGAACAAGACCGGAGTACCCACTAAACCCCGCGGTGTTCTCCTACGCCCAACCAGACCGTGGCATCTACGTTAGTTTATCCACGGCCCGGCTAGGGGGGAGCCCCTTGGCAGGGGCTCGACTCGTGTAGGGAGGGGTCATCTCTTAGACTCCCTACGATGAAACCCTCCTCAGAACACGAGAGGAGGGCCATCCGCCACAATCGGCGCGACAGGTCCCCCGACCCGCCGCGCGTGGCTCTCTAACAACTAACTAGGCTGTAGGGCCGCGGCGTACCTCGCACGCCGGCGGCCCCTCAGTGGAGTTTTGTAAGAGTGGTAGAACCCGCTTTAACATCTTCGCACGAATTGGCCAGGTTCGCCCGGTGAAATACCACCACCACACAGAAAACAGGTGTGAAGTGGAAGAAATCCCGCGTTTCGTCTGAGTGTGCGTCCCGGAGGCCTAATTTAGTCCTCTTTCCCTTCCCACCCTTTTCTTATAAGGAAAGGCTGGGAAGTGGAAGTGGTTTT